TAAGTGTGTGTGTGTGTGTGTGTGTGTGTGTGTGTGTGTGTGTGTGTGATAGTTACATAATCTGGTGTCAATTTGAGGACTAAGAGTGTAGGGGTGGAGTCTAGCCTGCCAATCAGATCATAGCCAATGAGGCTTCTGTGTGGGCTTAGCCTTCTCTTGAGGATTCTGGGAATTCCTGCTGTTTTCCTTGGAGGCAGGAGACACACACTCTCTCTCTGCTCACTCCCTGTGAGATATTTCTGAAGAGAAGCCACATGAAGTTACCCTGAGGCAGTCAGAGTTTCGGAGATGAAGGAACCACGTATAGATCCTTGCCAGTGCAGAGATTCTTACAATGCCCCTGGATCCACAAGACTTCCAACCCACTGGCCTGTGATCTTCCTGCATTCCACATTATTGCATGTTTCATGAGTCTGAAGAGGATTTTTTATAGATTGTATTGGACATATGGGCTAATATCGGACTTATAGACTTGATGTGGATGGGGATGTGATGTTTTCTTACTATTCAATTACTCTTGTATATAAAATTCTTTCTTAAACACATGAGTGTCTATTGATTTGTTTCTCTAGCTATCCAGGCCAACCGCGGGAGGGTGTGGGGGTTGGGGAGCCAGGAATTAAAGAACTAGAGGGATGTTGTGTATTTTGTCCGTGCTATAGTACACCCTGGCTGACTTATCTCTTCCTTGTGACCCTTCTGTGAGGGGATGGCCCATTGTCTACAGATAGGCTTTGAGTCTCCACTCCACCCCACCTTGGTCACATCTATATGATATGATTGTTTGTTTGAGGTCTTCTTATGCCTGATACCTGATCCTATTGATACCTCTCAATCACAGAGGCTGGTTTGCTTCTTCCATATGGGCTTTGTTGCTTCCTTGCTAGATAAATCCTCCGTTTAATGAAAATGCTTCCTGCATGTTTTAAAACCAACTACACTAGAGCTAATAACCAAATATCCTCAAGTAATTAGAAAAAAATCACCGTTCTCATCACTGTATAGATAAAAGAAACTCTCTCCATCTGAGAAAAAATATTAGTCAAGTTTTGGGGTTTTTTATTTGAAAACCACAACTTTATCACTTGCATTTCCCAATACCAAATACTGAACTTCAGAGGAGCCCGGAGGCAGTGGAATGCTGTCCAGGCAGCCAGCTGGGTCTCAGGGACCCAGACAAGAACATTACTTTGCAGGGACAATTCCTGGAACAACGGCTCCATGTTCTTTCCTTTCTGACCCCAAATATAAGCTTCTTACATTCTGCCTTAAATGTTCCCTTCTTCCTTCTGTTCACTGTCACCTCGGTGATGTCATTACCTCTCCTCGTTCGTAATAGCCCAACCCTTCCAATGACTTCCAGATCAAACACCACTTGTATAGTAGTCCAACCGGCAGGGGAAATCTGAGCTGATCAAGTCTTTAGATTTATGTACCAATTTACTGGAAAAACAGGGGACAGGAAAGCATGTTCAACAACATCTTGAAGTCAAAATATTCATGATATGGGAAACTACAGGAAAACCTACCCGGTTCCTTCAACACACACACAGAGAATGAGTCGAGAGTTCACCAACTGATTGATGAGTAAGGACAATGTGGTAGATTCATATAATGACATATTACTTGGCACTAGAAAAGGAGATGAAATACTGGTGCAAGCTCCATGAATGAAGTTTGGGAACAGCGTGTTAAGTGATGGAGCCAGTGACTAAGATGACATGTGGTATGAGTCAATTTATGTGACATGTTCAAAATGGCAAATCCATACAATCAAATTATTAGGTTCCAGGTGTTCAGGGAAAGAAGAAAGGAGGATAACTAATAATTGGTAAAGGATTTGTTTTGGGAGTGGTAAATTGTTCTGAAATTACTGGACTTGTAAATTATAAATGATATAAAATAATAAATTATAAAGGAGAGTGGAGATGGTTGTACAATTCTGTGAACATATTAAAAACCACTGAATTGTACACTTAATTTCTTTTTTCCTAAATTGTACACTTTGAAAGGAAAAGCTTTATGTTTGTGAATTATATATCAATGATGTTTCAAAAGGCATAGGATAAACTATAGATTAAAAGAGTAACATCAACCAATCCCAAACTATGGACATTATGTATAGATCACAATTCAAAAATCAAACTATAGATTATATTTATATATACAAGTGATACTATTGAGATCATTTGCACACTAAAAGCACGATGGTATTGAGCATTTATTATGGGGTATTATCATTGAATTGTGTTTTCCTAAAAAGATATGTTGAAATCCTATCCCCTATAACTGCAATACAGTAGGTGCAACAATAAGCTCAGAGAAAAGAGCAAATGTGAGGAGAGGACAGGATCGGGCCGTGGTTTGTTGTTGTATTTAGGCTACAAGTCAGAACTGACTCAATGTCACCTAGCAACAGCAGCGACCTACCGGTAATATTTGGAGGACTGAGAATTCCACAATACTTGTGCTCATATGAAATCTATACATAGACATGAGGCAGCTATTCAAGGAGAACAGGAGGCAATACTCCGGGGTTTAGAATCGGGGAAGCTATGCATCAGTGGTGCATGGTTCCCCCTATGGAGGGATAATGAGCGGCGACTCCATGGAGCTGGACTCAATGAAGAACATGGCATCAAGATGAGAGGAAAACTCATTAACCATTACAGTATGTAGATGACACAAAAAAGGACTTAATGTACTTATTGATGAAGATCAAAGACTACAGTCACCAGCGTGCATTACACATCAATGTGAAGAAAATGAAAATCTTTCGGCCCTGTGGACAGTGGAAGAAAATGCTGAATGATCCCTGGCCAGCCTCATAATTGTTGCTATGTTTGAGTCCATTGCTACAGTCATGGGGTCACTCCATCTCTTTGAGGGTCTTCCTCCTTTTCGTTGCCCCTCTACCAAGCATGATGTCCTTCTCCAGGGACTGGTCTCTCCTAACAACATGTCCAAAGTATGTAAATCTCGCCACCCTCAATTCCCAGGGGCAGTTTCACTGTACTTCATGGCAGATTTGTTCGTACTGGCAACCCATTGTACACTGGATATTATTTGCGAACACCATAATTCAAAGCATCAATTCCTCTTCAGTTTTCCTTATGCAAAATTTCACCTGCATTTGGTGATTGAAAATATCATGGCTTGGGTCAGGAGCACCGTAGTCTCCAAAGTGAGATCTTTACTTTTTAACACTTTCAAGAGCTCTTTTGCTGCAGGTTTTCCCAATTCAATATATTGCTTGATTTCTTGTTAGCTGCTTCCCTGGGCATTAATTGTTGGTCCAAATAAAGTGAAATTCATAACAACTTTAATCTTTTGTCCATGTATTTTGTCCCCTATGCACAAAAACAAACAAACTCACTGCCATCAGGTCGATGCCAAGTCATAGCAACCCTAGAGGGTGTAGTAGAACTGCCCTTATGAGTTTCTGAGACATAACTCTTCACCGGAGTAGAAAACCCCTTCTTTCTGTCAAGGATCAGCTGGTGGTTTCGAACTGTTGACCTTGTGGTTCACAGCCCAACTTGTAACCACTACACCACCAGAGCCCTTTGCATCCCCTAAAGAATGTCAGTAAATATTTATTAACGGAATGAAGGAACTTTTGTATATGAAATGTGACTCTGGGGAATTGAGTATAAACTACAAGTGGGAGTGGGGAGGTGTTACTCGGCTACCATTCCCCTCCACGTTGATCGGGATCACAATACACAACACTCTACACAGATAGGGAGAGAGAGAAAAAGAATGTAGAACAATATTCAATATCATAAAAAGACCAGGCTTACTGGCAGAATGTAGAACAATATTCAATATCATAAAAAGACCAGGCTTACTGGTCTGATCGAGATGGACAGAACCTCTGAGACTGTGATCCTTAGCGATCCTTTAGGCCTGACACTGAATCTACCCACCACCTCACCTTCAACCATCATATGAGGGAGGGCATACTCCTCAGAATAGTCAGCCATTCGAGGCAACTGGGAACATCTGCCTAAAATCAAAGCTCAGAAGGAAAGAAGGAGTAGGAAAGAAGGAAGATTGGAAATGGGGAACCCAGGGAGGAAGTGGGGAAGGTGCTGTTACATTGAAGGGCCTGGTACCAGTGTGATGGAACAAAATGTGCATAACTTGCTGAATGGAGTTTTGATTTGCTCCATAGACTTTCACCTAAACCACAATGAAAGGTTTCAGGGGGGTGGGAGGGGTGGAGGGCAGAATAACTGTGGGTTTTTTTAAGGTACAGCAGGTCTTTGTAGACTGTACCACATTACAAGAAATGGGCAGCCCTGCAAGAAGCTGCCCTTGGCATTTGTCCAAACTGCCCAGTGAGTAGGTCTCAACCTCACTGCTGTTTGGGGTCCAAGGCTTCGTAGCCGTGGAGTTTATTCCGTATGTCTGTCTGGCAGCATCCCTGGCTTTTATCCACTGGGTGCCAGTAACACCTCCCCACTCCCAAGTGTGACAAACAAAATTCTTCTTAACACAATGCCAAATGTCCTCCCCGGGGAGCGAGGGAAGGACATAAAATCACCCCCGTTGGGAAATACTGGTCAATTCTTGTCATTTTACTGTTTTAATCAGTTTTTAATGGTTTCTGGGTAAATATCATCATGTTCAGTAAAAATGTTCAAAGTTGTTGTATAAGAAGCCCCTGACTTTTCCGGAAAGGGGGACTTTGCTCCTTGGGACATACAAATACACCTAAGAACAATTTCTGATGTGGGTTAGGCAATGGCCACTTTTAGCATAAGAGGGTAAGAAAGAGGCAAAATACAAGCTGACAGTTTTGATCCATGTTTAATGAAAAAGTTACATGAATAGAAATGGACAAATAACAAAGAGATCAATTTGAGGAAATATGATAGGTAGAGCAGGGAAAAAATAATTGTAACCCTCGATTTACTCATGGATTCCTATTAGTTATTACTGATTCAAAAGCTCTCCAAAAATCCAAAGCAAAATGACATGAGACTGCTGCTTTCATGAGAGCTTTCAGAGGTACAGTCCGATGATGCCTTCCTCTGTCCCCGGTGCCCCAAGACCCAACAAGCAAGGCAGAGATGTCGAGCGTGATATAAAGCGACGAGAAGGAAACGAAACCGTATCTGGTTTTTTATTACAACAGCAAGTCAGCACTGGCCAATGCTCTGTGGGCACAAACATGCTGCCTGCTCCTATTTTCACGAGAAAGCGTTTTTGATACATGATCATTTCTTCCGAGTACAATCAATCAGTAAGGGATTAATCTGACTCTGGTGAACATAAATCTATACAGGGAAGTTCCTGGTGGCCAAACATTAAAGGCATGAAAATGTAACATACACACATGGTGAACTGCAGTGAGCTTTCCGTGCGTAATTTCCATGGCTTAACTCTGCCCGGCTCATGACTCAGTGGGACCATTACGACTTTATTTTCATCATCTTGCCCCTGATGTACGTTTGGACTATGCCTTCCTAAATAAGAAATTATTTTTCTTTTCCAAAGCTATATACCTAGATCTTTGGGAAAGAATTGTGATCTCTAAACATATATCATGGGCACGGTTCAACTTAATGATCTTATTTAAAATTAAAAAAAAAAAAAGAAATCTTTCTCTCAGGCTAGAAGCTGGCAAGCACGAAACTCATAATAGGCATTTGCCGTGTGGGTGATGAAGGGAAGTCAGGGTAGATTTTACTTTCATCCCTTCGAAATCAAAAGCTCTGGCCCGCGCACCGCAGCCGCCCCTTCTGCCGCTCTCGGGGAGCACTTGGCCATGAGCTAGGACGAGCCCTGTCGCTTCTGATACTGTATCCGGAGCTTCTCCAGCTGCTCCACACACTGCGACTGCGCCAGCTTCAGCGTCCGGTTCTCCTCGGCCAGCGCCTCGTACTCCCGGGCTAGCTGCGCGGCGTCCACCTTCTCCTTTTCGGCCTGATCCAGCCGGGCAATGAGCTCCTTTCTGAAGATGCAAGGGACACGGGAGGCAGAAGGGTAAAATTTAATGGGGGGAGAAAACATCAAATGACAGCGCAGCAGCATGGCAGAAATCAAACGTTCCCGTTTGTGCCTGTCGCTTTCATTGGCCCAGCTCCCTGCGTCTGCGCTGTTGCTGGAATCCATTTCAACGCCCTTTCGGGTCACATGAACTGTGCTCCCTAGGGTTTTCTTTCTTTTGATCGTTTTATTGGCACTTCAACCACATAACACACAATTCAACCCAGAAGTTGTACAATCTTTACCACAATCAATTTTACAGCATTTTCTCCGCCCCCATTGTTATTCATGTTTTTGTCAATTATGGCAAAAATGTACACACCAAAGCATCCTGCAGTCCAACAACTTCCACGTGTATAATCCCGTGTCGTTGGTTGTGCTCTTCGTGATGGACAGCCACTACTGATATTCCTCCCCCGAATTGTCCCACCACCATTAAAACAAACTCAGTGCCCCTCGGCAAACACGCTTCCTCCTTCAACCCTGGCAACCCGAAGTCAAGTGTGGCTTCTTTTTCTTTCTTTCTGGTTTTAGTAGTTTTCTTAATGTAATAGTCACATATCAGACACGTCTATAGCTAACCTGCTTCTAAAAAGAGTTGCATACACATCGCCATCAGCTCTGGCACCCGCCCTCCTCCTGCACCCACTGATGCCCCTCCTCCCCGATAAACCACTGCATCGATGATTCTCCAGGCACCCACTCCTTCTGTGCTTCCTAAACTGGGAAACCTAACAGAAGCAATAAAGAAGGAAACGATAATAATGATGATATAAAGAAAGAAATAAGGACTACCACAGTGGTTCTCAACCTTCCAAATGCCGCGACTCTGTAATACAGTTCCTCCTGCTGACCCCCAACCATAAAATTATTTTCGTTGCTACGCCATACTATAATTTTGCTACTGTTACAAATCATAATGTAAATATCTGATATACAGGATGGTATTATCATTGTTACAAATTTCACATAATTAAGGCAGAGTGATTAATCCCCAAAACAATATGTAATTTTATATATACTAGGAAATATTTATTTCTAATTATAAATAAATGAAATTTTGTCCTGAAGCCTGGTGTAACATGGATAAGTCTTCATACTGGGTACTCGCATATGGGCTTATGTGCATGTGGGTAGACCTGTCTGGAGACGGATCGAGGAGCAGCGTTTCAGTTCCTAAAACCATCCGAAGTATGTGTTTTCCAATGGTCTTGGGCAACCCCTGTGAAAGGGTCATTCGACCCCCAAAGGTTGAGAATCACTGGACTACCAACAATATTTAAAAAGCCAGAGAAGAACTTTCTGTCGTGGAACAATCAAGAAATATTTGAGCATAGAGAAAATTCAGGTGGGGCCAAGAGAGAGGTCAACTGACCAAGTATCATATTAGACCATGGTTCGATTGACCATGATCAAGTTTACAAAGATGTCTGTCTAGTAGTAAAGCTATTTGAGTCTCTCTACAGTTTTCAATGAATGATTTGTGTTTTGTGGTTGTTTTTTTTCCCACAAGTAGGTCACCTATCCTTTCTTATAAGGAACTTTTGGATGGGTTCAAACTGCCAACTTTTGGGTTAGCACAAAATGCCTTCTTAACCATTTGGACCATCCAGGAACCCCTCGCAAGTTTCAGATCTCTGTATTTTAATTTGCCATCTCTACCTGACACATCCAAACACTACACTTCTAAAATCAAAGATTATTTAAGAGCACAGCATATCACAATTTATGAAAAAAGCAGGTCTATTTATACGTCTGATGATTGAAGTTGCTGTCTACTGAGTGTTAGTAAGAGAACCATATAGTGTGCCCCTTAACTAACCTTCATACTCCACGAGTCACGTGTTTTTGTTTTTTCCTTTTCTTTGATATTTCTGAGTGTAATGAATCTTCACTAGGCTTCTTTGAACCAAGGTTTCCAACTTCTCCCCAACAGGTGTTAGTGTCCATGTCTTTCCCGAGTCCTTAAGTATATGGGTGTACGTGTGTATATACATATACAGTATACATTGCAACCTCAATGAACAAACTTCCCCTGGGTAATGCAAGAAGTTTGCAGTCAACTGCTACCCGGAAGATTGGTAGTTCAAACCCACTCAACACCGGGGAAGACAGGCCTGGCAATCAGTACCCATAAGGATTGCACCCCAAAAACCCTGTGGAACAGTTCTACTTTGAAGCATCTGGGGTTTTCATGAGTCAGAATCAGCTTGAAGGCAAATGATTCGATTTTGGGTTTAACTAATAAACAATGTGTCTGCATTTGGTACTGGCCTCCGGCTTGAGTTTAGGAAGCAGGATAAGGACATGGGGAGGGAACTTGCACTGACATCAGGTAAATAAATGCAGTTCTCAGTAAACATTTTTAAATGCTGTATTGATATAAATACACATAGTACTGCCCAGAACATTCACAGTCTAGATGGGATTTAAAACCATGACAATCTAAAAGGAGACCAGACTTCACCCCTACAAGTGGGCCAGTTAATTATAAAGAGGACCAAATCTAACTAAATTCTCCTTTGCCTCGATATAAGGTAAAGAACCTTTATTTCCAAGCTGATAGTGCCCAGCTATCAAAAGATATAGCGTCAGGAGTCTTAAAGGCTTGAAGGTAAACAAGGGGCCATCTAGCTCAGAAGCAGCAAAGCCCCCATGGAAGAAGCGTACCAGCCTGTGTGATCTCAAGGTGGCGAAAGGATCAAGTATCAGACATCAAAGAACAAAAAATGAAATCATTGTGAATGAGGGGGAGTGCAGTTTGGGGACCCAAGACCCATCTGTAGGCAACTGGACATCTCCTTAGAGAAGGGTTGCGGGGTGGAGACGAGCCAGTCAGAGTGCAGTGTAGCAACGATGAAACATACAACTTTCCTCTAGTTCCTAAATGCTTCCTCCCCAACCCCCCCACCCCGACTATCATGATCCTAATTCTACCTTACAAATCTGGCTAGACCAGAGGATGTACACTGGTACAGATAGGAACTGGAAACACAGGGAATCCAGGACAGATGATCCCTTCAGGACCAGTGCTGAGAGTGGTGATACCGGGAGGGTGGGGTAGAAAGGGGGAAAGGGTTACAAAGATCTACATAGGGATCTACATATAACCTCCTCCCTGGGGGACGGACAACAGAAAAGTGGGTGAAGGGAGATGTCGGACAGGGCAAGATATGACAAAATAATAATTTATAAATTATCAAGGGTTCATGAGGGAGGGGGGAGGAAGGGAGAAAAATGAGGAGCTAATGCCATGGGCTTAAGTGGAGAGGAAATGTTTTGAGAATGATGAGGGCAACGAATGTACAAATGTGCTTTACACAATTGATGTATATATGGATTGTGATAAGAGTTGTATGAGCCCCTAATAAAAAGATTTTTTAAAAAAAAGAACCTTTCTTTCTCCTCTGTGGGATGAAAAACAGCTGGTGAACATTCTTCAAATATAGGTCAAACTTTGTTTTCTAGATGGGCTTTCTAAAGGGAGGGGTTCTAACTGCTCCCTGCAGATGTTATTGTCCATGTCTTACATGGTGTTACAGAAGATGGTGGAAATGCTTTTATACTTTGTTGCTCTTATCTACTGTCATGTTGTTCCTAACGCCCGGAGACCTCACATGTGCAGAGTAGAACTGCTCCATAGGGTTTTCAAGGATGAGAACTTTCAGGAAATAGCAAAGAATGACAATGGTTTTTATTCTGCTACATATAGGATTGTTACGAGTCCGAGCTGATTCAACAGCAACAACAATAACTATCTATGCTCAATTTCCAGATTTTAATTATTATACTGAATTCGTTATTTAGTGCTGGAACAGTAGTACCACAAGCAGATGGCTTTACCAAATAGAAATTCATTCTCTCAAAATTTAGGAGGCAAGAAGTACAAATCTAGGGTGCTAGCTCTAAGAGGAAGGTTTTTCTCTGTTGGTTCAGGGGAAGGTCCTGGTCTCTTTTAATGTATGTGGAGATCTCTATGGTCTTGACATCAGCTTTCCTCTAGGTCTAAGAGCTTCTCAGCGCAGGGGCCCCAGCTCCAAAGGACATTCTCTTCCCCTGTCTCTTCTGCCTTGGTGGTAATCTCTGCTTGATTGTTTGATTTCTTTTATATTTCAAAAGAGATTGACCCCAAATATAACTTAATCCTGTAGATTAGATTCTGCTTCATTAATATAACTGCCTCTAATCCTTCCTTATTAACATGATAGGTCAAGTATACAATGCACAGTATAATTACATCAGATCACAAAATAGGTAATTATATAATATGGAGAATCATGATCTAGCCAAATTGATACATTTTTTGTGGGACACAAGTTAATCTATACCACGTACCTTGGTTACATGAAAGAATATGCCTATTTTTAGAAAATATTCACTGAAGCATTTAAGTACAATGGGTCATAACATACATGTGTGTGTGTATATAAGTACATGTATATGTGTATGCATATGTACATCTATATAATGTGGAGCCATGGTTTCTTTTATATCCTCCATGTAAGCCTTTACACTTTCGAAAGCCTTTAGGAGACTCTATCCCACCAACTTTTCCTTATGAAAAAGATGAAATTATCTGCTCCCACAAAAATTACAGGGCTGGATTGAATTTGATGCTTGATCAGTTGGCCTCCCTCTTGTCCCTGTCCTATAGGGTCGCCGTTAGTCAGAATCCGTGTGATGGCAGTGAGTTTGGTGTTTTGTTTTAAGTTGAATCATTTTCCTTTTCAACCCATTCTTAATTTGTTCTATTTTTTTATTATTTTCTGTTTTCTTTTGGAATGAAAGAAGCAAAGGTGATGAGAAACTTCATATCACATACTTTGGACATGTTGTCAGGGGAGACCAGTCCCTTGGGAAAGACATCATGCTTGCTCAAATAGAGGAACATTAAAAAAGATGCCGGCCCTCAATGAGATGGTTTGACACAGTGGTTTCAACAATGGGCTTAATCATCAGAACAAT